TTGAAACGTATGAACGTTCTTCGCAAGAAGTGTCAAAGGTAAGGACATTTTTTGCAAGAAGTGTCAAACGTAGGGATGTTTTGTGCTATTATGCCTTGTTAAAACTAAAACCATTGCCAAACCGATGAACTTCCATACCATTTTCAAAATACCATCACCTAAACTCCTGCGGCACCATCTATTCTGGAGAGATCCATTTTATTTTCAACACACCAATCGACTATACTCACCAGAACCCTTCTCTTTATGGACTCTTCCTCTTCAAATGGGACAGCCACCTTAGAAATGAAAAAACTCCGACCAACCATCGCCCAAACCGTCGAACTTCCATACCGCCGAACCACCATCTGTTGATGTTTAAACGAAGAGAAACGTCCCAATGAGTATAGTCTATTGGTGTGTTGAAAATGACATGGATCTCTTTGGAATAGGTGATGCCGTCGGAGTTTAGGTGATGGTATTTTGGAAATGGTATAGAAGTTTGGCGATTTGACAATGATTTCAATTTTAATAAGGTCTAATAGCACAAAACGTCCTTACGTTTAATACTTCTTGTGGCAAACGTCCTTACGTTTGACATTTTTTGCGAAAAAGATCCATAAGTTTCAATTTTTTTTATTGTATTTTCATCTCTATTTTCACGTCTCATTATGAAAAACGTCATTTTTATCAATTTGAAACGTATGGACGTTTTGCACATTACAGGCCAAACGTAGGGACGTTTTGTGCTATTATGTCTTTTAATAATTATTTGGACTCACTTGCACTCTTTAAATTATTTAGGAGTAAGATTGTAATTTATTCTTTATTTTTTTTTCTTTTTTTGAATTTTATTTAAATAGGAGGTTTTCACGTCTCATTATGAAAAACGTCATTTTTATCAATTTGAAACGTATGGACGTTTTGCACATTACAGGCCAAACGTAGGGACATTTTGTGCTATTAGGTCTTTTAATAATTATTTGGACTCACTTGCACTCTTTAAATTATTTAGGAGTAAGATTGTAATTTATTCTTTATTTTTTTTTCTTTTTTTGAATTTTATTTAAATAGGAGGCTATTTTGATTATTTTAACAAAGAAAAGTTGAAATAAGGACAAAAATATAAAAAAAATGAAAAGTAGAGATTTTGTCAAACGCACGACGTTACGTTCTGTTAACCCTTTGAGGAACTCAAACATCGGTGAGAATTCAATATCAGATAACAGAATCTAAAGACAAAATCTGTAGAGCTTAAGGGGTCGGAGCTTCAACAAAGATTCGGTATAGCAAAAGGGAAAATATGAAGAGGAAAACAACAGTTTCAGAACCATCATCAAGCAGAAAACGCCCACGAGATGAAGAATCCGAATCCGAACCCGAACCTGGAAATTTTCTTTCGCTAGGTGAAAAATTTCCCCTGATTATTTCATAATTTATTTTTTCTGCTTTCGGTGACCTTTTTTTACCTGGAAATTCACGTTGGAGAAATATACATAATTGTGCAGAGGAGAATCTCTCGTTTAGTGATACTATGGTGGCTCTTCAAATAATGCACGCTCAGTTTCCTCACATTGAAAAGGTCTGCACTATTTTTATATTAATTGAGTAGGATTGCATGTGTTTGAAAGCTAATCAATTGAACTAAAGGGTCTTTTTTTCTTTTTTGAAATTTCATCCAATTTTTGTTAGTGAAAACTAAATGGGCTGGTAAGAAACCGGTGAATGGAGCCCTGTGAATGGGATTTGTATTTGGTAGCAAAGAAAAATCTAGTCTTTACAAACTGATGGTGCAGTACAGGTCAAGAAATGGGCTTTATAGTAGAACTTTGGTGTATGATTAATGAATACTTATCATGTTTCAGCAACCGGTTACCTGAAACTCACTTTTCTGAATACAACATTTGATGGTAACTTCTTATAATTTTTTCGTCATGTTTACGTTTATCTTTTATAGATAGAACAAACTAAGCCTTTTTAGATAAACTTAACGTGAAGAGTATTCATCTGTTATAGATACTGAAGATAATATGAAGAATAATTGGAAAAGCTGCTCAATGGAAAAGAAAAGGAACAAGAGTAATCCAATAAGTTTTATTGCTATAAATGGAGTCTTAAAATTTTGAAAAGTTAATTTTTTTTAGGAAATTTACTTGCTTGGATTATTTTCAAGACAACTGCTCAATTAGGGTGTTTAATATTTTTGATTTCATCATTCCCAGTTTCCACTTTTACTTTCATTTAGAACTGCCAATGCCTTCTTATTATGTGCCTTCAGGTTTCCATCCAGCCTTTTGTTTTGCAATCACAGTTGTACAGCAGCATAAGGGACAGGACACAAGTGGATAGGGAATTAGAGGTTTGGTGTCTTGGCCAGAAAATATTAACACGTTTCTTTCTCTCCCTTGTTTTTATTTATTTATTTATTTTTATCTAAATCAACACGACTTAAATTTTGTGTGCATTTTTTCGATGTATACTGTGGACATTGGCATTTCTCGTTAGAATCACAATAAACCCTGATACCCACATTCCTCCCTTTTGAGTTATGTCTTGCTGTACTATGTTTCTTCAAAGTTCTATAAACAAATAAATTCCATCGTTTGGTTTGTTTTATTTCCAAAATCACATGTTTATAAGTTTGTGATTGATTTTTTTATTAATACTATCAAGTTCTCTCAAGAACTGACATGCTTGATATGGTTGCAATAAATTTGTCTTTGTTGGATCTTTCAACAGAGAGAACTCTGGATCATGAATGAAAAAGGTGAAAGGGTAACATATTCATGTAACTGACCTAAATTTACTTGGAAATCAGAACGGACTTGGGTACTTATTTTGAATTGTTGAGTTTTGTGCCCCAACTATTGTGCACTTGATAAATATGGTACAACTATTATAATTCACACAGTATTGTAATCATCTAGGTGATTTTAGTAAACAACTTTTAACTTCTTGTACTCTGTACCGTATGTGTTTTGTAGTAAATCTTGAATTTTTCCTTTACACCAGATGATTATGAATTATTTGAAAGACTTTATTCTCTCCCTCCCTTGACGAAAGTTTTTCATATTTCTTCATTGGCTGGACGTTCTTGTCACCTCCTCTCTTATTCTTCAATTTCCACTATTGGTTGTACATGATGGAAGCATGTTATGATCTGCATATTTTTTTCATCTTATGCAGTCTTTACGAAGGGATAGAGTTTTGCGGATATTTAAGTTAAATACTGGACAGGATGACCATGCTGTAATGTTCATGGATGACTACCTAAATCAGGTTGGTTTTTCTTGGCTGCCCGGTATAAAATTGATATTTTTCCTTCATAGAGAATATTTAAAAATTTGTACATAAGTTGTTTCTGTGTGAGCATTTGGAGTTTTTGTGCTTCCTACTCTTTAAAATCACGCGTTACATGAATACGAGTAATAACCTAACATTAAATAGGAGTTTCAAATATGTTAGTGATTCACACCCTTATACATATCTTGAACAAGAACAGCACCATGATCCATTTGTGGAACTAATAGAAAGATAATAGAATAGCCCTAAAATAATTTGTGAGTTGTAAAATTTACAACTGTTCCTCTTTGACTCTAGACTTAATTTCTAATTAGAAAGTTTCTCTGGCCTTCCAATCACTGTTAGATTTACTGAGTAGTTGGAGTATCCCTTATATTTGTTTATATTCTATGTGGATCCTTCAGTGATCTTTGAAAACATTTTATTCTCCAACATTGTGCTCTCCTTTATCTATCAATAAAATTCCCCTTTTTTCACTTCTAAAAATGGCATGGTAATAAATTGTTTGTGCATACGTTAATATCCTCGTTTATACTTTGACCTTCCTAAAGTTGCTCCATCATAAGTAATAATATGATTATCATGTCATTTGGTAGTGTAATTGGTCCAACATTCTTTGTTGATTTCAGCTCACATGGTACTCTTATTTTTTTTTTTCCTCTCTAGTCGAACCCATTTCAATTCCTCTTCTTTCAGTTGATCAGTCGGTAAGGTCTTCATTCAAGTTATTTCTTATGTAACAAAAATGCCTTACCATCTGGTGGGGTTTCAGTTCGTTAGCTGTAATTTGCGCAGCTCGTAGTTCTACTTTTTGATCCTCTAGTTGAGTAGGTCATCACTCTTAAGTACAGAAGACAAATGCATTGGTATTAGCGGTTATCAATGCATTAGTATCAATAATTAAAATGGAGACCGAATACATTTTGTTTTATTTATGCGTGGTCACTATTTGAATCCTCACTGTTTTGTGCAGTAATTTGTGCAATGATCCTGTTAATTACTGCATATCCTTTTGTTCGCTTGGATTTATTCATGAGAAGTTAAAAAAAAAAAAAAAAGGATTATTCTTGAATAATTAGTGACACAAGTCCTTAAACATTGTTCAGATTGAACATGTTGTGAAAAGAATGGAAGTGAAGACTCAAGATGATCGTATGGTTTTTGAATGGTTTAAGACTCATGTAATACATTCAAAGCTGGATACCAGCATTGGTCATCAAGAGCTTGTGAGTTTTCCATTCCTTAAGTTGCATTCTGCTGCTTACTGCTGAACCAATCTATACATGTCTCATTTTACACGTATATTTTGTTTCATCTGCTATTCAACTAGAATATTCAAATACTTTTTTGAATTTATTCATGCTGAAAGTTCCTGCTAGTGTACTCAGAGTTGGATTAGTAGAGTGACTTTTTGGAACACTGAAGCTGTTTTAGAACTTTTCTTCTTCTTCCTTTTCTAAAAGTGTTAGCGCAACTATTTTTCAATATCTGAATTATGGAATAAAACTCATGTTTCTAATGAGACATCTTATTGCATGCGATAATTTTTGGCACCATCAATCAAGTTGTAAAATGAAGGTAATAAAAGCTACCCTTGTTTTTTGACCATAAATATATTGGTAGGAACTGTCTCCATTTTATGTTAGGCGCCGTGTTGCAATATAGCATCCCCTATTCTATTGATTTAATCTATTACTTAAGCGTATTTTTAGTAGAGACCACTGTATCGAAAGCCCCAGATGCTGTCTCAAGCGAGAGGCATTCATTAGGTGCTTTACGCTTTAAGTACCTGTTGTGAATTCTTATGTCTTGACTTAATGATGTCCATGCATAAAGATATAATCCCTTAGTCTTGCTTCTTCTAAACTGTTTTTTAACTGGCTCCAGATGGCTATATATTTATGTCCTTGGATCCTTTGCAGTGTTCACTTCTGTCCATGGGGGGAAAGGTGAAAGAGGAACATATTTCTCTATTAATTAACGCTGGCATTATTGTAAGTAAACATAACATTTCTCTCTTGTTCTTTTTTCAATTTATGAAAAATGTGAATTTTCTAATATGAACTTGAACACATCCAGTTGTTTCAGTGTATGATCCATTTTTTTTATGATTTCCAGAGTGTGGTATTGAGGCCTGTAGTAGAACTTTATCCTTCATATAATAAATGTCCCTTTGAACTCCAAATTTTGTTTAGACAAATATTTTATTCATTCTTTTAACTTTATCCTGTAATTTTGCTCAATCTTTATATGTGCGATGTTAAAAGTAAATATAGTTTCTTGCCTTACACAGGCTAATGACATGGGTTTACAAGTTCCTTTCAATAATTTGTTTACTGTTTTGCACCTCGGCAAAACAAAAGATAAATGTGATTAGGTTTAAATTTATCATTTTGCATCTGTAAAGTATATATAAAATCATTTTGATAAAATTGAAAACTTAAACCAAGAGTAAAATATGGTTGCTATGACAGTGTCAACATAAGATAATTTGAGTAGGTTAAATATTGTTGAACTGGATTTTTGAATAAGATAAAAAAGGATATTCGACAAATTCTCTCAAATATTAAGTGGCTGATAAATGACGGAAGGTCATTGGTGATACATAAAATCCTGGATGATCGCTCACTTCACTTTTCCTCGTTACAAATTTTACCACTAAATTTCTTTGTTGCTTCATTATCCAGTCAGCAGCGTAAAGTTGTACAGTTTACAAAGTGTCAACGGTGCCAGTATATTGATGCCCAAAAGACCTATAAACTCCTCATGCTCTACACTGAATAAGCTATACACAGAATTTGAATCAAAATTAATGTATATTCCATCGCCCCCCTTGGAAACAGAGAATGCCAAAACAACCTAAAGTTTATGACATTCATCAGATTTTTGTGTCAATGAGCAGCTTTACGTTATATATTTCTTATGTTTATGGGTTCCTTTCTCTTCCTCTTGCTTTGTGAAACTGCTATTTTGTTTCAGATTCGCCAACTTATTGATCAAAATATGTATTGGTTTGCAATTCCAAATATTGGTTCAGTGCTCAAAGGTCTCTCGCAGGTATCAGAATTATTAGTTATGTTCTTCCTAGATAACAGTGAAAGCAATATTTAATTTATATTTTTTAAATTTGCTGCATAAATTTTTAGTACAGTTTTTTTTGAAGTTCAGTTTTCTTTGCTACAGAAGAATAGAACATATTTTTTTCATTAAAAAGTTAATTGAGTATTGGTAACTGGTATAATTGTCCAGGACTTCTGTGTGCTAGAGTATAATTGTCCTGTACTTTTGTTTTCAACTTTTGTGTAACTGGTAAAATTTTAAAATAGCTGAAATGGATCATTATTCATATATTTTTATCCTGTACTTTTGTGTACTAGAGTATGTTAAACTAGACAAAGCTAAGGGGAGCCATTATATGTGGCTAAGCATACGATTTTTGAACATTTGTAATTTCAGAAGTGCATGGGCACCTCTTTAGGAATTTATCTCCTTGTGTGGTGAAATAAAATTTGGCTGCCGTGATTATAGGATTAAATCATGTACTATTTGAATACATCAAATTCTTAAATGGTAAATTGTGTTGTGAAATCTTGATTTTCTGAATTATGAACTAACCTTTATATGAAGCAATCCTATGCAAATTATGTGCCCAAGAAAATAGATGAAATTGTACGTTAGAAATAATTATTTTCTAGTTAATGAACAGTGCAAATGTTTTCTTCCTAATTTGTTATTGGTTATAAAAAACAAGTTACCTTTCTTATCTTAAATTATGTTGTCATCAAGGCATACTTCAATGATGATTAGAGGGCTTTCTGAAAAATTGAAAACTGAATACAAATCACTTAGTTCTGATCATAGTAATGCCAAACCCACCATTTGGATGAGTAGAGTTGGCCTAAAGACGCTCACCGTTCTCGGATGGACTTTGTGATAACAAAAAAGTAAATGCTGCTTCCAGCAATCACTTAGCCCCTGTTTGCTTAGGTAGTTCTGCCATTTGTAATCAACTAATTTCTATCAAGAAATGTAATCGCTTGAATACTCTTAATCTCCCGTAAAATGAAATCGAGAAAGTTTTTATGTGAAGGGCTTTACAAGCTTGACACTTGCATTACTTTTCTGAACTATTCATGTACATTGACGCCTAATATTGTATTTTAGGGCAGAAAGGAGGTTCTCTCATTCCTCAACCGTAGGAAATACAAAGAGATGATGTTGGCTCCTTTGGAGAAGAAGCGCCTCCGATTTTCTCCTCTGGATATGAGATTTCATCTTAGAGATCTGATTGGTTCAGGTCACCTCAAAACTGTCCAGACGCCTAGCGGGTTAATTGTCCGGGTTGCGAAGGATTGAAAATCGGGTATGAAACTCGCTTTAGTTACATATTCACCCAGATTAATAGAGGTATTTTGTACTGGGGGTTACAAATGCAACAATACTAGCGTCGCTAAATTCCATTATTAGTTTGGTTGTCAAGTTCGTGTTTATTTAAAACACATTATATGTCATACGAGTAATTGTGAACAAGAAGACGTCAACATATACAAAAATTTGAATAATAATTGTGTTATTAGTTTAGGGGTTTGTATTCAGTTCTCATAGGACCTCAAACATATACAAAAATGTGCATAATAATTGTTATTAGTTTAGGGATTGGTATTCAGTTCTCATACTCGTCCAATGTGCATACTGAATGAAATTTTATGTGTCATATCAACTAGAGAAGATGACTTGTTGATTGAGCAGAGTGGAAAATCAGGATCAATATATGGGATCTAAGAATAGGACAAGGCTTTGTTGGGTTGAACTGAGTTGTATGTTTATGACCTTTTCAAGAACTGGATCAGGTAATAAAGTGGTGGATAACTAATTTGCAAGGCAATCCTCTTTATGTCATTAAATGACAGATGACACCATCTGAAAGCTGAATTGAAATCTGTTGTTATAACAAAACCACAATTTCCTCAAAAGCTCATTATGCAACTCTGTAGCATATCCTCAAGAATGTTAATCTGCATTTCTCTCTACCCATCTATTCTTTAGATGAACAGAGGTGCTTGGCTTCTATGCTTATGGCTTACTGCACAATGCACGAAACTTCGTAATTGAATTTAGCATCGATACAATACCTGGTTCTATATATCTGTATGCCATCCTTGTTTCATAATTAAATTTATCTGTTCCTGATACTGCTGTCTTTTCTTGATCTTCACAATTTCCACATCTTGCCTTTGGGCCTTTAAAATATTGGCTATTCAATCACCTCACATTCAGTAGAGCTAATAAACCACTTATATGGGAGAATAATGTGAAAATACAACTTTTGCATCAACTTCAATGTATTGTCGAGCACTTCTCTTAATGGAAGGTTGTATGGTAAATAAAATTACTGAAAAAGGATGAAATTAAATAATTTAACTGATTTTTGAATAATGAAAAGCAAGAATTTTAAACACGCACAAACGTGTTTTCGTAATCAGACCGTCCTTTTCCTATCACTGGGATTATCCAAATAAAAGTAGCTTGTTTCTTCTAATGACCAATGACTTTATAAATTTTAATCCATATTCTTAGCATCATTATCTTAACACAAAGCCTCATCTAACTCCAAGTACATCGGCGTGCAATTCTGCATAATTCCTAGCTACAATCCAAGGTCTCTATCCATTATCGCATATCACTTTCCATCCGTTATCTTATATTTTCATGTCTATTATTTAATATATATTTTATTTTGTCTTGGAATTTCACATCTTTTTCAGAATATAGCAGCTTCTGTAGAAGATCCTGTGAAGTCTCAAACTGATGACCCTACTAAAATGCTGCCATGTGAGTTCTGAATTTCTACTTGGCTGTTCATAGCTTGCATTATCATAGCTGGATTATTGGTTATTGCATAGACTTGTTTGTGGCAGCTACCTGCTCGGGTCCCAACATGGGCACGTTTAAATTATTTCTTCGTGTTGTTTTGTGGCGAAGCATTACGAAGGACTGTGTCGGCGCTTTTTGATGCATGTAACATAGTAGTCAAATGGCTCCATTGTTGCATATAGATATAGAATAACTTGATCATAGCTGTTACATAATTGGAATTGTACAAAAGAGCATTATTTGATTGAACTTCAATTTTGTATTACCATTTTCCTTCAAAAACTGGAGAGCCTCCATCAGGAAATAAGAATTTCTGAGACTGACGTATCTTTTCTTTATGAATCAACTTACAGTCGACCAAAGTTCTAGTTGTATTAAATATTCTATGTTTTGCTAATGATAATTGCTTCTATATTTGTATGAGTAAGAAGTCGTGGATGTGAACATTAGTTATGCTGTAAGCAAATTTTGATATTTTACATAGCTTTAACTGTTGCTAGAAAAAGACTTTACTTTCATCGAATGTAACTCTTTTAGCTTTTACCAATATTTCTTTTTCGCGAGCTGGAATAAGATGGTTTGCAATATTTAAATTTGAAAGAACCTACGGGGAAATTAGAAACGGTATCACTTATGGATATCGATGAATGTATTGACAGTTCTGTGCTTATTTTTTTTAGGGTTATGCTAGACGGATAGAGCCTACGCGTCCAGGGCGCTAATTGGCACCTTATTTGGACAGATCTTTATCATTTTTTTTATGGGTCGTTACCTACTATTACCCACTATGAATATAGCGTTTGACGATCTCTACCGAAAAATGTTGACATCAGTGAAGGAAAATTTTTGTAGATACAATTTCCAAGAAATAATTTGATGCAGTTAAAGAAAAAGCAGTAGGGTCAATTTGATGACAAACCAAGAAGCATTGGCGACAGCAAATTTGTTTTGTTTTAATTAATAATTCAATATTCATAACAACAGTGTCTTGAAAAACGGCTCTCAAGACATGTCAAAATCACAAGAAAATCCACTAATTCGCGTATCTCTCTAATCAATTATTTGTTAGTTAATGGCAAAAAGTATTGTACAAGAAAGCTTACTACTACTACTATTATTATTATATCGTAGGGCTTCTTAATTTTTAAATATTTCATATATTTTGTCATTTAATTATCTTCGATCCCGTCTTTCGTATCAAAACAAATTTTCTAATTATTTTGTGACGCGTGTCTTCATTGATTTGGCTGATAAATTGTGTTAATATGGCTGATAATTGTGTTAATAGCGACGGTTTACACGCTTAGATGAAAAAGTATATCTTAATCTAGTATAAGTTTTAAAAATAAATAAATAAATGAAATTGAGCCAAAAGAAAACTATTTTAACAAGTCATGGAGCGACAAATTCATCCATATCATCGACAAAGTTCCGGTATAACGATCTGGATACTATCTCATATAAAAAAACAAAGAAAAAAGAGCCTAGTAAAATAGACATTCCAATGAAACAAGTTGTACAGTATTAAACAATCAAATCCCACTAAGTACTGCATACCGAATAAAACTATATTGTTTTAAATATTAAGAGGGTGTTTGGTAGGAATTTTTATGTGAAAGTGTATTTTTGAATAGTAAATTGATGGGAAATGTGTGGTTGAAAAATAAGAAAAAGTTTTTGATTTACGTGTAATATTATTTTAATAAAGAATGTGTGGTTGAAAAGAAGAGAGAGAAAAATGCATTTTGATAAAAATGGGTGCCAAACAGGGCCTAAGTTTTTGTCCGGGCTTTATTAAAATTATAATACATGTTTCTATTTCTTCTTTCCAACTAGATATTCTGCAATAAAATAAGGAAAATTGCAGTCAAGATACCAAATCTTTCATTTATTAGCAGACTTGATCCAAACTTTTTATTTGTGCTGTCAAAGGTATCAAACCTTTAAAAAATTCGCAAATCAATCCAAAATGACGGTTTCCGTCTATTTGACCACCAAAATCGTTAGTTGACCCCATAAATGAAAATTTTAAATATTTTTCCCAAATAAAACGAGGACAATTTGGGGCATTACACATTTTTCCTTCAAAATAAAAAAATAAAACTCCCTTTCCTTTTTCCCCAACCCCCTTACCCCAAAATCAAAATCAAAACCACCTAATTGCCCGCCGCCACCACTAGCAACACCACTTTAACCCCTAGCCGCCAACATTGCCTCCACATTGTGGCTGCTACCAACTCCCAACTTGTATGAAAGATAATCTCCACCACATTACAGGAAGGGTATCCCACCGAAAGCTCAGCGAGGGCAATGAAAAACGTATCTGTAACATGCGACGGCTGTGGAGACGATGGTGTGTGTTTTGTTTGTGGGATGGTGTGCATCGGGTTTGGATTTTCTTGAAACGGATTTTTTTGGATTTTGTGACTGTATCTTTGGTGGCGGAGTTTGTGGAACTGCCAGAGGTCGTTAACCGGTGGTGGTGGTGGTGGTGGTGAATTTTGGAGTTGTTATGGTGGTTGTTACAGTGGAGGTGGTGATTCTCAACGACGTTGTCTAATGCTTTTGGTGGTCAAACAAACGGAAACCATCATTTTGGACTGGACCTGCAAATTTTTTAAAAGTTTGATACCTTCGTTGGTACAAATAAAAAGTTGGGGTGAAGTCTGCTAATAAACGAAAGGTTGGTACCTTGGCTGTAATTTTTTCATAAAATAATATTACACGTAAACTCAAAATTTCCATCTTTCTTAATCGCTCATTCTTAAAAAAATTACTATTCCAAAACATATTTTTTCTCTAAAACTCGTTAAAATGGAGGCCGAAAATTAGAAACGATAGGTCCTTTGTTTCTCAAAATAACTTCTTGTACAATACTTTCTTTCAATTTTTAACTTTTTCGATTGCGCGAACACATATCTTTAAACGACACTTGTCCCATAGTGGTGGAACAACGATGTTGATCTGGCCTACGTGGGAGGGTCGTAGAGGTAGATAGCTAAAGCCTAGAGAGCTTAGGTGTCCTCCTATACATGGTTGCTTTCCAAGATAGAAGACCCTCATCATCTCCTCTCTTGCTTCACACGCTAAAATGACTTCTTCTCTACTTAAAAAGAAGCTCACCGTCGGTAATACTCACAATTATACACACACACACGTATATACACGAATTATTTATCTCCATTTCTTGCGGTCCTCAAATGTAAGCCAAAAACAGTTTTTATCTAAATTTCAATACGTGCATAATTTTCATAACTGAATAGTAACAATACTTGAATATTGTAATTCGAGTTCATATTGCAATAGCTATATTTAATTACTAGGTCGAACATAGTGTAAGTTCAAATTTAATTTTTATTTGAATTTATAAAACATTTCAATCCATTCTCGATATTCTACGTAATCAATGAGTCCTCCTTTGCTTTTTATGCTTCCCTACAACCCAAATTAAATGCAATCCATATACTGTAAGATCATTTGTATCGTATTTAATTAAAAGGAAATGTTATAATAATTAAAATCATAGATTCATACTGCCTGAGAAATTATTCATATTCCATGCATGCATTCATTAAAGTCTTATTAAATTTTCCTTTTGAAAATGATAGATTAGTTTCAGAGATTCATAAAACTTGTGAAATGATTAGATAGCAGGGTTCTTAGTTAATGATCAAGAATAATTGTCCAAACTTTTTTAGTATTTTTATTAAATAATATTAGACATTGTTCACGGAGTATGATACACATGCATATTTGGATCGAGTTCATGATATCATTATCAGTTATTTATTTTTATGAATTAGTTAAGGCAGGATGACAATCACAAGACAGATCGATAGACAATGGAAGCGATTGAATGATTTTTAAAAGTGAAATATTTGTCTGAACTTTATATTTAAATATTTGAAAATTAATTAATATGTAATAAAATGCATGCATTTTTGCCTGTTAACAAGTTTCTTTTAAATTGCGGCGGCTCTGATATTCTCTCTTAAAGATCACGCCTTTTATTCGACCATGTCCCCACGACAGCATCATGTGGGCTAGTTGATGGAGAGAAAAGAACGACCCGGACCCATATGGAATTAACTAGTACATTAAATCAGACACGGATAAGTTGGGGTATATGGACGAAGTTGTTGGGTTTTAATTGTGTATTAAAGTTTATCTTAAGGCTAATCTCATTTAAAGTGATCTAATAATAAAGAATGAAAAATGAGAAAATTACACCCCATCCTACCTTTAAAGATCTGTGTTCTAAAATCAGACGGGGAGTTTCATATTTCACTAACCAGATATTTCATTTTCAAATATTAAATATATAATTTTCATTCCAAATCCTAACAATTTCCCCCTCCTTTCTCTCTACATCTCACTCTCACCCCGTCTCTCTTCACAGGAGCCGCCAACACTGTCCATCGTCACCAGCTAAGCACCACCTACCGTTGCAGAAAGGCATTGCGTTGCCGTTCACAACGCCTCGACACCGATCCTTCGATTTGCGTTGGGTTCGGGCACACTAATGGTGTTGGTGCAGGTTTGTGGATTCTTGACGTTGCCGTTCATAGCACTGCGAGTTTGTTGCGATTTTTGATGTGGTGGTTGTGCAGGCAGTGATAGTGAGCTGTGGTGGTGGCGGCGGTAGGTTTGTGGATTCTTTGGTGAGGGTGGTGGTTGGGTGTGGTGTAATTTGAGATAGAGGAGAAGGTTGTGGTGGTGGTATGTTGTGGGTTGTGCAATGTGCGATGGTGGTGTGTTGTGGGCATGGCGATGGTGTAGCGAGTATGGTGGTGAGGTGATAGTGGTTCTGGCATCCGCGATGCTCATGGTGGTGGTCGTTGTGGCGAAGGATTGTGGTCGCTGTAGTGACTGATGGTGGTCGTTGCAGCGACGGTGGTGGTTACTTCGGTGGCGACAGTGCTCTGTTGTGGTGATGAATTTGTTGGTAAGTTGTGTTGTTGACAAGTTGTCATGAAGTGGTGGTGGCTCTTTTGTGGTGGTGATGGTGATGGTTGTGTGTGGTATCAAATGGGGTTGGATGCTTGTGACCAATTATTTGGTTGATTATAACCAATAATTGGTTAATTTGTAATATATGACATATGACCTAAAAGTTTTGACCGTGACTCACAATTGATTAATTTTTGACCAAAAAATTAATTGTGATCAATTAATCTAATAGTTTGCAGCGAATAAATGAGTTGTGACCTATAAAAGTTTTGATTTTATGATTGGTGAATACTATGTGATCGATAATTTAATAATTTATGACTGTATAATAAGTTGTGACTTATAATATTTGTGATTTGAGACAAATAAATAAATCGCGACTTATAAATTTTTTGATTTGTGACCGATGAACAAACTGTGACCAACTGTGGCTGTAAAATAATTTGTAGCATAAAATTCCTGAT